AGAGTTGAGAACCGGCAGAGGAGAAATTTCGAACAAAAGGAGTGGTCTGAATGTTGTGAATTGACGGGTAATTTTGGCTCCGGTTCGTTATGGCCACGAGTTCTGGTGCTTATAAATAGAGGACCAAATGACGAAAATGCCCCCTGTGGTCGTAATGTGATTTGCTAGAGTAAATATCTCGTTAGTGGCTGATATTTTTGTCCAACTCTCTGATTTTGGCCACTGGTGAGCGATTTGGAGCAATTGGAAAATTCCCTTTTCTGGACAAGAAGCCCTGTGGAGTGAGGACAACAAAAACTCATAAAATTCAATATTATTGAATTGAATAGACACAAACCAATCGTGTATGTTAATCTTATTCGGATTTTCGAGTACTTATCTTGTTTTAATTGAAGACATCATTCAACATTCAACTACTACGTCCCTTTCAATTATATACATATTTTGATTGGTCAAGAAATACATAAATAAATAAAAATACGCAAGTTCCGTGCACGGGCAGCAACTAAGGAAAAAGTGAGTGGAACAAAGTACGGCGAGAGGCAAAGTTAATCAACGTAATGTCTCAAGTTAAAATAAGGGGAAGTGCACGGTTAGCCACTAATAAGATATGTATTTACTTTTAAGTTACTGTTTAAAATGTCTTTAGTCGTTAGTCTTTAACCACTGCTTTAATAAACTTTACCCGCCCGAACGAAAATACCTTCTGCTCATAAAATTCAGGACCAAGTATCCTTAACTTATGAGCTTGTTACCGTAAGTTCAGGACTAGTTGTCCTTAATTTATGAGCTTGTAAGTCTAAGTTAAGGACTATCTGTCCGTAGTTTTTGAGCTCGTAACTCTAAGTTAAGGACTACATGTCCTTAACTTTTGAACTTGTAACTCTAAGTTCAGGACTACTTGTCCCTAATTTATGTGCTTGTAACTCTAAGTTAAGGGCTACCTGTCCTTAATTTCTGTGCTTGTAACTATAAGTTAAGGACCAAATCCTTTCAACAACACATGCATAAACAAGAATCAGAAACCCAATTTAGCATTGAATCCATACTTAAAATTGAAGGCAAAAATCGAATAAAGGTGGCAATCACACGAAACAAGACAAAACTGACCCTCGTTAGAAAAACAGCAAGATATCATTTTTCATTTTCGTAAATGTTCAAAGCCATCAAATTCACAAGAATCCAAAAACCCAATTCAACATTTTTATCACAAACAACATATGCATCCACAAACAACATGTCTCTGCATCGAACTTGAGAGATAGAAGCGAGGGATTGGGAAGAAAAGCAATGGAAGAAAGGGTAAAAATGCCTTTTTATATTAATTTTAATAGAGTAGTGGCTATTTTTGCTCAACATTAGAATTGCTGGATAAAAAATAAATACCACCTTAAATAGTGGCTACCCCACGCCATTTTTACAATAATATTGTATGGCCACTAAAGGATTTTATTAGCTCATGTTTTCATTACTGACCCGAAATGACCTTCCGACCCAATTTATTTGCAACTTGTAGTCATTGTCTATTTCCAATGCATTTATCTTCCCTAGACCACATTTATTCCCAACCTTTTTATCTTTCTTTCATTTTATCCAATTTCAATGCACAAAATTTTCTTCCCATTACCACTTTCATTCATATCCCCTTTCTTTCCCACCCTCTTTCTCACCTCTTTCTTTCTCTGTGTCTTCTTCGTCTTCCTTTTTTCTTTCTTTGGTTATTTTTTTTTCATTTTCCTTCCCTTCTCTATCTCCCATTTTAGATCTATATTTTTTTCTCTTTATTTTTTACTTCACATTGAAAAAGCTTGTTTGAGTACCTAGAAAGATTACATTTTTTTTCAATTCAATTCTTAAAAAGGTTTACTTAATTATGATGCATGATACAGGAGTGGCAGCAAAAGTCGTGGGGTTTTCTAGTCAAGCTTCTTCTTCTTCTTCTTCGGGTCATAATAGTATTTTGTGAGTGAAAATCTTTTACAGTGAGTATCCGATGGGAAAAAATGACACTGTATAGCCACTGTAAAAATAATAGCCAAAATAATATATAAAAATTATATATTTTTTGTATATATATATATATACATTATATATGTTATATACAAAAATTATACAGTTTTATACACTTTTTCGACTACCGGATGTAATTAGTTTTTGGCGCGGGCTAAAAATAATAACACCCCGCTAGTGGGTCTGAATTTAATGGGGTAATTGGATGATACTTATATGTAATTTTGTATAAATATTATATATATATATATATATATATATATATATATATATTTATACAACGTATTCAATATTTTATATACACATATATAGAGTTGTACATATATACGATAATTTGTATTATAGTTTTATATAAAAGTTATATGTATATTATTATGCTATGTATAAAAGTTATATATACATTGTATCCTAAGTTTGGCAATGTACTTTGTGTATATTGAGTGTATTCCGAATGTGTTTGTATATCCAAAGCGTATATTAAATTTTCTTATACATGATTATATAGTATATATATACTACACAATATGTATATATACTATATAATAGTTATATATAATATATACAAATTATATACATAATTTATACATGATTGATACATATTGTGCAAGTGTATTTTTGTATAAAATTGTATATAAACTGTTATATGTGTATAGAAGATGTATATTTACAGTTAAAAGTTTTATATACAGTATTTTCTGAGTTTGATAATGTATTCCGAGCGTATTGTATATTTTAAGTGTATAAAAATATATATATATTGTTCAACAATGTATAAAATAGTGTCTAGACACACTATACTAGTGTATAATATGTATAGTACGTGTACAATTTATACATCACCTTCGTCCTCTTCTTCTTATATCATGGATAAATTTGCTTATGCAATATTATATTTTTCTAGATTGGATCACTAAAAATTTAATCCTTTTTTGTAAAAGATAAAAAGGGGATTGTAATTTGTGTATAATAGGAAGAAGTTTGGTGGTTGTGGAGAAGACAGTTGGGTTTCTTCTTCTTTTTTGTAATAAATATTTTGTATGAATTCTCAGTCTTTCACTTTTTTCTCTTTTAGTTAATTCTTAAAAATTGTATAAAGTTGTAGTTTTTTTATAAAAATTGTATATACACTCATATGAAGTTGTATATACATGGTACTTGTATATGAAATTTTATATAGAAGTTGTAAAGACACTATTATACAATGTTAAAACTATATATGCAATGTATACTAAGTTTGGCAGTATGTCATTTGTGTATATTGAGTGTATCCGAGTGTGTTTGTATATCTAAAGTATATCTTGTATACATTATGAAATGTACATATCTCTCTCTCACACACACACACACACATAATCTCGTTATATGTGTGTATTTTTTCTTCTTGAGTTGGTTTTTAAGTAAGTTTTTCTCTTTTGAAAAATATTTTATTTTTTTGAATTCTCAAGCTTTTTGGACTTTTGACCGAATTGTTTTGTTTGTGTAATTGAAAACTTATTTGACTGAAATAGTTTTATACTTTACATTGCTTTGGACCGAAGATATATTTTTTATTACTGTAAATGAGATTTCTAAGATAAAAAATCACTTAAAATATTTGACATGGGTTTAGAATGCGACTACTGAGATTTTTATTTTACTGGCTAGCTATTATAATTAGTTTTTGGCTTCAAATTGCATAATAGATTTGTGGGCTAGAACTTGTCAAAAGTTTCAGCCGAGTGGCTAAAAGTGAAATTGCCTCAACCTTTGTGTGGTCTTAAATATATAATGAGATGTTTGTAACTATAAAAGTAAGTTATTAAAATAAATAAAACTTCAAAGTTAAATTGTTTTGGATACATAAAAATGTGCCCTTTTTGGAACAAACAAATGAGAAAATAATAGGCAAAATACCTTAAACCACCCCTAAACTTGGCTCAGATTATTAGTGTCATCCCCGAACTATGTCCGGTCCTAATTACCCCATACACTTGATTATATGAATCTAGAAACCCCCCTAATGTGCCACATGGCATAGCAAATGGTATTAAGTGCACTATAGCGCGCGAGAGAGCTCTCAAACAGCAAAAAAGGCCCCCAAATAACATCCCAACAACTACAATCTCTCTTCTTCCTATTTATAACATCCTCCATTGAAGCCAAAATCAAGTTCATACATTTCCCTATAATTCTTGATTTTCTTCTTTACTAGTTAAATTACTTAGTCCCATTTCCAGATTTCTGTCCTATTTTTCTCCACCATACCCAACATTAAAGATGAATACTTTGTAGATGTGGGTATCCGGCATGTGTAAATTATTTTTGGTCAAATGCTAATCCCGGCAGAAGATTTCTTGGATACAGAAACTATAAAGTATGAATATAGTGAGATTAGTGCTATTTAGAAGGTTCAATTTTAGTATATTTTTGTTGGGTTTGTTATATATATTTTCTTCTTGGCTCTAATTTTCGTCCATTGTCACAGGTTAAAGGTCGAGTAGCTTGTAAAATTTTCGAGTGGTATGATCCAGAATTTCCAGAACAAACAAATGTTGTTATTTTGGGTTTGTTGAAGAAGAGAAATAAACAAGAGTAAGAGTTGAAGTGGAAATGTTTTTTGAAGATTTGTCTATGTATCAATGTGCTATGTAACTTGATGTTGTATTTTGCTTGGGGTCCAATGTAATACTTTTATTTTTTATCTTTAAATTATAAGAAATACATTGTTTCAATATTAGACTATAGACCTACGTTTTCAAAAAATTGTGTAGCAATCTTAGTCAGTGAAATTGGTAGAATGGAAAACTGAAAATCATAAGAACATAGTACGTAGCACTTGGGTGGATTAAAACAAAAGATAAGGACAAACTATATACAAAAGACCACATTGTCTCAAATTCAGCAACTACTTCAACAGGACCACTTTCTTCTTGTTTGCTTTGGTCTTCAACTGAAAACATGAATCCATATGGTTACACTTGAGAAATACAGAGGGATGAGCAACTGACATCCAAGCAATAATTATACCATTACTAGAAGTTTAGACATTGCAAGAGTCATTTAACAAAAGAAAATTGGACAGCATCATAAGTGCTTATAAGATACTACCAATACCAACACAAAATGATTGTAAATCAATATCATCACCAACATAAAGTGCTTACAAAATACTACTAGAAACACCACCAAAGTTTATACATAACACTACCAACACTAACACAAAAATTATCTTAGCTAAGTTAATCCTAGAAATTTATGTTGTTATCTTCGAAGGAGAAATTCCCATTTGTGATCTTGTTTGAATTTCAACATCCTTTGATCTTTTTTGGACTCTATGTATCGCACTTTACATTTGGAGTTCTCTTTGACTAATAACTTGCTTTTCTTTCCACTTCAAAGACTTGCTGCTTATATCCAATATCACCTGTAACTTTTGCAGAATTCATCATTGCAGTTGTGAAAATTACTCTGCTGCTAGGCATACCTTGCTGTAATTAAAAGAGATATTTTATGATTGCTGATACATAACTAAAGATAGTAACAACAATAAAGTTAGAGTAAGCAGTAGAAACACTAACATTAACACAACTATAACCAGTCTTAGACACAAATACACATTGTCTTTTAATCTTCGGCCTCTTATACTTAGTTCTACTCCCTTTAATACCTTACCTGTTTGTAGATACCTCTTGAGTATCAACAACACTTCTCTTCCTTGTACTTCCAGTTGATGATTGTTGGGAAGCATTATACTAAAAGGTAATAAGTCAAGTAAAAAATCTATCCAATAATTCGATGTAAAATAATGTAGATAAGTTTTACCTCTGATGTTGTTGTTGGGACTGTTGGCTTGGAGGGACAACTTCTTTTATTATGTGCACTAGACTTGCAAATAGAGCATGTCACTGTTATTCCCATTTTTGATAACTTACCAGCCTTTTTAACTTCTCCTTCCTCCTTTCTTCTATTTCTCTTTGGCCTGCCATGCATTTTTTGAACTGCAGGTGGCTCAATCTATGGATTTGAAGTAACTGGCCATATTATCATATTGGGGACAGGTTGTATAAAGTTTGAATAAGTCTGCAGATAGGTCTCCTTTCTGTACCAGGTTGCAATTGACTCAGATACATCAATCCTCTTGTTGTGCATTGTTGTTATGGCATGTGCACATGGAATGCCTTTCAACTGCCATGACCTGCAGCTACAATATCCTCTTTCCAGGTGAATAATAAACTTAATTTTACCTTCCTTAATTTCAAAGCCATAGTCTCCATTCCAATAAATCTTACACTTCATTGACTTCTCCACATTAGTGTTGAATACCTTCATTTCCATTGGAGATATCCCGACCACCCAAGTTTCAGCAAATGCCCTCATCTTAGGTACTCTAATCATGACCTTGACTCTAATTTCTTCCATCATTGACACAATTGTCTTGTGTCTAGCTCCCACTATCCAAGCATTGAAACTTTCCGATATATTATTGTCCGCACTGTCACATTTGGAGAATTTTTGGAAGTAGACTTTGCACCATCTTTCTTTATTGTTATAAACTGAAATAGCAGAAAAGGCCTTACTCTGTCTCCAAAATAACTAAAATATTCCAAAATATATATGTAGACAACCCTAAATATAAAAATTTTAAAAGCCCTAAAATTTGTTGCTTATAACAGAAAAACCTTTAGGGCATGCATGCACAAAATTAAGTGTTGTAGATATATAAAGTGGCTATTTAAAAGCCCTAATTCATCTTCATTTAAGATTGAAATTATTATCGAGATTCAACTCTATCATATTTCAACCCTAATCAAAAAATCAAATTTCAATCACTAACCTTTAAATATGTCTACTTGAATATACAGCGAAGACTGCTTAGAAACACTTGAAAATTGGAGAAGAAATCACAGATAATCAGCAAACAATCAGGAAACATTGAGAGGATTTGAGAGAAAGTTCGAGAGAGAGAGAGAGAGAGAGAGAGAGAGAGAGAGAGAGAGGAGAGGAGTACTGACTACTATGTTTGAAGAAAAATGATCGACTATTCCTAATATTTTATTTTAATTCTTTTTTTCTTTTGATTTGTGTATATAAAATAAAATAATATTTTCTTTGTCCTACGTGGAGCACACATAAGATAAAATTTCCAACATGGACAACGCGTGTATGCACTGAATTAGGCTATATAAGCTTGGGGGAGGGGGTGTGTGTGTGTGTGTGTGGAGGGGGGGTTCTAAATTCATATAGTCAAGTGTAGGGGGTAATTAGGACCGGACATAGTTCGGAGAGGACACTAATAATCTGAGCCAAGTTTAGGGGTAATTTAAGGCATTTTTCCAAAATAATATCATATAAAATAAAATAGCGAGTAACCTCTTTTATGTATTTGAAATATTTTTTTGCTTAATTTGCGAAACCAAGATTATAATTCCATTTAGGAAAATTCAAAGTCACTGAAAAAATAGAACTCCAAAAGTAATTAGTCATCACAAAGGAGTAATATTTACCCACCTAGTACAACATCTTTTGGGAAAGGCATAAACAAGTTTTTTCAATTATTCCTGGAAATGAAAAATACTAAGCTAGTATTTGGACATACATTTGGTTGAAACCTGGAAATTTTTTTTTTAAAGTTGTGTTGAAAACTAATTTTTGAAAGTTGAAATTGTATTTGGACATGCATTTTATTTGAAAAATATTGAAGTTGTGTGAGTGAAAGAAAAACTTTCACCCTAAAATTGCTCTAATTCATTTTTTTTTCCAAAAAAATGATCATATTCCATGAACAAATAATATTTTTAATTATTTTTTAAAAAAGAACAATCAAAATCTATGGCCAAATGGGGCAAAATATAGATTTTTGGAATTAACACAACTAGTTTTCCAATAGCTAAAAAGGATTAAACCAGCTTAGGAAGAAACAATAACGGACCAATGATGTACCGCCACGTTTGTATCTTGTAAAAGTATCAGCCTGCCAGCTTTTCAAGAAAAAAGTGTACGTAACTGGAGAACGTGGTGCGCCATTTCCTGTTCTCTCTCACTCTTTCGATAGACAAATACAATCAACAGTCAAATTCGCTTAAGAGCTTATCTCTGGAATGGTATTAATAAAGAGTATTCGCTTCAATCATCAGCTTCTTCAAGTAAGTTATGGTTTTATTTAGCTGAAACTCCTCTAAATTTCGTTGATATATATAGATGAATCATTCAAATTTATTCAATGTCGTCTTTAGCGTTTGGTTTTGACATTAGGGTTTCTATAGTTGCATTGATGAACCGCCTTCATTTCGCTACTTATTTTTTGCTGCTACATTTTATTTTTGCTTGCTGATTATTACTTTTAATTCTGGAAATTTATGTAATCATATCTTTTTGATAAATGGAATGTTTTACTGGACGTGAATGTGTGTGTACATATATTTGTATGTATGCATGTATGTGTCGCGTCCCATTTTCTCGCGAAAGCGAGTTTCGACGTGTGACAACTCTTTTAAAAGAAGGGAAATAAAAGAGAAGAGTCGCCACCTAACTATTTTTGAGGTGCGTTAGGACAGAGGCGGATCCAGGATTCGAAGGTGGCGGGTGTCACCATGTTATGCATACAGTATACATGTCAGTAGCTACAAAGACAAATTAAGAATAATGGGCCGGTTCGGTTAGTTTTTGGTTAATTTGAATAGGCCTTTCATTCACAAAGCAAATAAGTTTGATTTTCGTTCAAAATTTTAACGCTTAATTTAAACAGCGCCTCCAATATAAATATTTACTTAAAGAGTACCTTAACTACACTATATATTCTTTGTTTGACTAGATTAATTTACTTGTATTGTTCTTTATTTATTTTTTTATCTTAATTGTTGAGTTATATGACAATTATTTTCAAAGAAAAACCTTCAACATTCAACCTATGATATTAGACTCAAAACGACTATCAATCTAGCCATTTAATTTTTTTTTCAAAATCCAATAGAAGATATTGCTCAAATTATATTTCAATATATAAATTAATATCGTTTCATTAAAAATAAAGAAATTATATGCTAATTAAAATCAATTCAAATTACCTATAGAAAATAATTGTTCAAAAAGTAAGGTATAATGATAGAAACAAAATGAGTACCGAAAGTTAAAAAATAAAGAAGAGAGACTTAGCAAGTAGTAAAATGAGGGAAAGAACCGAAAAAGAAGGAAAAGAGGTGAGGCCCTAGGGCTCAACTAAAAATAAAGAAAATCTTAATAGGTAGAAAAAAGGAAAAATCAAAAGAGTTGCTCCAACAGGGAATCGAACTTGCATTCATGAGGCCAAGGAGAGCCTTCAAAGGGAAGGCCAAACCAACGGCACCCACTTTCACTTTGTAAATTCTAGGTGCCACTATATCCCTTTATACGTTTCTTCACAGAGATAATATGTACATAGTAAGAATTTTAGCGAAGCGAGCGGGTACCGTGGTACCCCTATCTCATAAGGTAGATCCGCCCCTGCGTTAGGGAACCTATATGCAAATAATTCTGTTTGACTAGTCAACGCCACTAAAGATCGGGTAAGGGCTTAAATTACCTTAAAGAGAAGGTGTTAGGCACTCTTCGAGGTCCACAACTGCGGGTTCTGGCCGAACTTTAGACTATGTAGATGATGTAATAAAGCTAGGTGATCAAACAAATAGAAGAGAAATTTAGAAGTTGCGGAGTCTTATTAAAATACGTGAGAACTAGCATAAGTCTTAATAGTTACGCTGAACAAGTATGTAAAGAGAGTTGGGGGGGGGGGGG